AAGTGGGGGTGGGTGGAGATGGGGAACCCAAACCCTATAGGAGTTGGGGCTAAGATCAGGAGGGGAGGGAAAGGTATGAGTTTCCCCCGCACATCTCCTCCCTGGAGAAGGCCAAGAGAGGGTCTCCTAGCCCCGCACCCTGGGCAGACAGGCTAAGGGATTAGCCTTGTATGTAGGTGATGACCTGACTAATTTCCTTGCCCACCCAAATCCCAGGGTGCCTCTCTCTCCCTTTTAGCCCAGGGTAGGGGGAACTGAGTGAGAGAGAGAGTGAGACCGACTGAGCAAGATTGAGACACGCGGGCCCCCACTGGCCTCTGAGTGGGAAAGGCAAGTGCGAGAGATAAAGGCCTCCAAGAGAAAAAAGAAACAAACCAAAGATTTAACCATTAAAAAAAAAAAAAAAAACCCACAGACAACTCCGCTACCTTTTTATACGTTGGAAAAAAAAGTGAAAAAAATTAAAAAATAAAAATTAAAAAAAATACACAAAAACTCCAAGCCGCAGTTCCTTCGTGCGGTTTGAACTTTGACCTCAGCAGTCTCCAAAGCAAGATGACGATGACAAAGGCGAAAAAGAAGAAAAAAATAATGTATATTTTTAAGTATTTGTCCTTGAAATGTTAGCTCCTTGTTAAACAAACACAAAAAGGAGAGAAAAATCTAGAGAGAAGTGTTGCTGGGACGGAGACAACTATTTACTATGTCTGTGATCCCTCCCTTCTTCCTCCCCTTCCTCTTCTCTATCCCTGCTGCCCCTCCCCCAGCCCGTCCTCCAAGCCCGGGGGCTCAGTATTTATTTATTTACATAATTGCAGGGTGACTGGGGGCCTCTCTGCACTTGTAGAGAGGGCCTTTGGATCATGGTGGGGTGGGGAAGGGGCAAGGAGTCTGGGGGAAAAGCAGGGACCTGATCTCAGATCAACTCCTCTCTGCTTTCTGGCTTCCTATCCCACTGCGGCCACCGTCCCCTCCCAAATCCAAGCCTGCACTAGAGCAAGATGACCACCCACCTTGTAAAGATCTGAGTGGCTCAGCCCTTTCTGGGGTGGGTGTCTCCCACCCACTCATTCAGATGACCAGGTTGGAATGGGGAGGGGAGGTGGTGGCAAGGAGCGGGCAAGGGAGACCATGAAGTGGTGTCTGGAAATTGAGTAGGCCTGGAGGAGACCTGCCTTTTGTCCGTTCTCAGCAAGTTAGCCCCACTTTCAGTTCTGTCTGACCCCTGTGTTGGTAGCCCCCCACCCACCCATCCTGTACCCCCTCCCTGTCTCCTCGTGGTAGCGGGTTAGCGTTTCAGTGTTCTTAACTCCAATCTGCTTGTTCATTGTACAATGTGCTTCTTTTAAGGCCCCGTTTTTGTAACTTGAGTGTGTCATTCATCTGAACAACATCAAAAAATAAAAAAGTAAAAACTGTACAGAGAGAAATGCTTTCTGCTCTCCTGTGGTCTCCTCTCTGTACCGGTAAGGATGGTGGGTACATTGTGTGTGCTGCGGACAAGGAGGGGTGGGGGATGGCTTTGCTTCTGTTCACACAGAGCAAATGTTCAGAAGTGAGGCCCGAGCCGTGTTTTCACCCATCAGAACCAGGTCTCAGAATTTAGGATGAATTCCAATTCCTGAATTCACATCTCACTTCTGCCATTTTATAGCTTGTGTGATTTTTGATATCTGACCTTCAGTGTCCTCATCTGTAACGTGTGGGCAATACCAACCCTATGGGGTTGCAAGAATTAAATGAGATGACGAGGTAAGTGCTTAGGACAGATCTCTGGCAACACTGTCTTCAATAAATGAGAACTATGGGAAATCCAGGAAGCCAGTGAGTCTTCCCCACTTCAATCCCCAGAGACTAACAAGACCCTTGAAAAACAGTTGACTTTGAAATTGTCTGGTGGTACAAGGTACACTTTTTCAGAGTGACATTAACTCTCACTCACTCAAATTTTTGTGCCCAGCTTGACTAGGTCATTTGGCAAGAACAATGGCTTAGAGGCCAGGCCATGGGCTGATCCCCAAGACCTCATCACTGAAAATCAGAAATGGTGTCAACAACTGGGTTTTCTCACTGGCATCGTGTCTCCTTGTCACTGTTTCATCCCTCTGATGTACGCTTGGCACACAGGTGCTGGGATTCTGCAGTTTCAACAGGAAGGGATGGGGGAGACAGGAGAAAGGACAAGAACAGAAGAGGGGTTGGATCACTTAGATAAGAAGTATTAGCACTGCATCGTTTTGGCCAGATTGAAAGAAAAAAAGCACCTCCCCAATTCTCAAGACAAGTCTGTAGGGATGGGAAAGTGGGATGTTGGTATAGAGGAAGGTCACTTGTCTAGCCCCCTCTGGTAGGGTGGTGCGGTCAGAACCATACAGACCTGAGTTCCTTGTCACCCAGACCATTCTGTGGCAAGCACAGACAGCACACCTGAGAGCATCCGCTTGCAGCCCCATGAATGTGCCCAACTGCTCCACATGCCCTTCCTCTGGCCTCCTCTTGTCAAGAGCATATTGGGCTCTAGTGGACCACTGTTGTGTTCCCTTGATTTTTCTTCTGCTTATGTAGCTTCCATATCCAACTAAAAATAGGATATGCAAGGCTCTTTTTAGAGGGGTCAGCAAGTCACCTGCATCAGAATTGGTGTTTGTTTATTTATCTTGGGGGATGGGGGGAGAGGCAGAGAGAGAATCTTAAGCAGGTTCCACACCCAGCCTGGAGCCTGCCACGGGGCTTAATCTCATGACCCTGAGATCATGACCTGACTCCAAATCTAGAGTAGGATGCTTAACCGGTGGAGTCACTCAGGCACCCTTACTTATTTTTAAAGATTTTATTTTTAAGTAATCTCTACACCCAACGTGGGGCTTGAACTCAAAACGCCAAGATCAAGAGTCACACGCTCTACTAACTGAACCAGCCAGGCGCCCCAGAATTGGTGCAGATTCCTGGGGGCACCTGGGTGGCTCAGTCAGTTAAGCATCTAACTCTTGATTTCGGCTCAGGGTAGTGGGATTGAACCTCAAGTCAGGCTCTGTGCTGGGTGTGGAGTCTGCTTGGGATTCTTTCTCTCCCCCTAAAAAAAAAGAAAAAAGGAAAATGCAGATTCCTGGATCTCATCCAGACACGTTTGCTGGATCTGAATCTCTGGGGGAACTGCCAAACGAACATTGAAGTTCAAGAACCTTTGTCTGTCCAACTTAAACCCCAGCATCCAACAGGGGTTTGATTCGTGCCATCCTTTTTTAGGACAGTAGTTCAACTGAGGACCATCAAGTTTCAGCAGGGTGATGGTGAACAATGAGTCTTGTCCATCAATAGTGTTTGCACACGTCAACTTTTCTCAGGGTGGGAGTCTGAAGTTTTCATTAGAGGCTCTAAAAAGGAACCACAGTTGAGGAAGGGTGATCACCCCACTGTCACAGAGCCATTCTTCTCTGCTGAATCTGGGAGTCAACCAGCACCCTCAGGATTCCCCCTTCCCCTATTCCTGTCCCTTTTCTTGACTCAACCTTATTTTTATCTGGTTTGGCAAGGATAATTCCTTCAATTGTTCTAAGCACTTATTTGATATGACTTTCAGGACGTTGCTGCTCTTCTTGGGAGGGGACAGTCTGAGAATTAATCTCTACTTGGGGATTGAAGGGGATCCGGCATGCGGGGCCGAGATGGCTTGAGTCCTTTTGGCAGGGTGTGAGGTCACTGAAAGATGGTGCTCATGATCCACACACTCTGCTGGAAAGCAACTGCTTAACAGAGAACTGCTCTTCATTAGGTCAGTTTATCAAACGGGTGATATTTTCCTTTAATAAGTCTTATGTAGTAAAATTTCTGTTACAGGTTAGGAGACTTGGTTTCTAGTCCTGGTCCACCGCCTGTGGCCTTGGTAAGTCTCCCCTCTCTCAAGCCATTTTTTACCTGAACATAAGGCGAAACCAGTGTGTCTCTGAGCCCGGTGCCCAGAGGCTACAGGTCTAGTGACGGGGCCGAGAGTAACAGACTCTCAGGCCTCCCTTTCCCTGGTTTCAGTACAAATAGCTTCCCTTCACCTCTCATTTATTAGGGGTCCAAGTATGAATTTTCTCCAACAGGAAGACTGGAGTATGGAGTAACCTTGGCAGGGCTTATTTTTCTTGGGCTGAGGCTCTTTAAGAGACAACACAAGCATAGCAACTGAGCGTTCCCACCAGTCACCATCTTCTTGACCGCCTTCCCCTAAGTATGTAGAAGGCAGCGGACTATGGAGGAAGCATAGGGGCGATGAAACCAGATGAAACTAGGCTTCAGTTCAAGCTCTAGCCTATGTGGGTTGAATGACCATGGGCAAATCACCTCCCTGCTTCTGACTTCAGACTCTTTCCCTGCAAGATGTTCTCCTCACAGGTGAGTGTGACAATTGTTATAAAAACCTAAGTTCTTGAGACAAACTAGACAAACACCAGCTAGCCACTCCAACCACCCCTCTCCCCATGTCTGTTGGCTAAGCCGGAATTCTAGGTGGGCGTCAAGGTAGCTTATGAGGCTGCCTACCCCCAGAATCTTCTCCAAGGCCACAGTTGGGTCTGGTCCTGGGAGACACCCTCCTCTACTGCCCTGGAGATCATGCCTTTCCCAGACCTGCATTTGCCCTCAGGGATCTATAGTGAGAAAACCAGATGGCCTTGGGGGAGATGGTTCATGTCAGGCCAGGCGTGGGGGCCAGAAGTGGTGAGAAAAAATCTGAATTATTTTCCCAAATGTTCCTGCCACCAATTGAAAACAGCTTCAGGTTTTTCTATGGGGCTGTGGAGACCTCTAGTGGCAAGACAGCCACACTGCTTCCCGTGCCACACCAGGGTGAAGTCCCTGCTCTCTGAGCCAGGCCCTGGGACTCCAGGTCCTCTTTAGTTCAGTAAAGGTCTCCTGAGCTCCTACTACTTGGCAAGCCCTGTTCTGGATGCTGAAAAAGCCATAAAGTCAGCTCCCAAATCCCACCCCACACAGCTGGGCCAGACAAAAACACATAAATGTCCAATTCAGTCTTTATTGACTGTTTCATCTTGGGGCCACCCGCACTAACAGGTGGAAGGTGGGGGTGGGGCGGGGCGCCTTTTATACATATCAAGGACCCCAGAGCTCCCCCCTCGGAAGAGAGAATAAATCCAGTTACAGAACCTACATGGTGGTTGGGAGAGGCGGAGGAAGGGGCACAGTATCTACAGAGACTTAAGGGGACACTGGAGGAGGTTCTTCAGCAACAGGGACTGGTGGTGCTGAAGAGGGAAAGGGGGCAGGGTCAGCCGCTGATCTGGACCCCCTCGGCCTCAGCCAGGGGATAGATCTCAATGGCCTCCACCAGGGGCAGCGCCTCCACTGCAGTCTCCATGACGGCCAGACCGACGGCGGCCTCGGCCTCGGCCACCTGCTGCCGCACGGCTGCCTGATGCTGCTGCTGGTGGGTCTTGCGGTGCTTCCAGAGGTTGGAGAAGGAGCGGTAGCTCTTGCCACAGTCAGGGCAGGAGTAGGGCCGCTCCCCCGTGTGAATGCGCCGATGCTCTGCCAAGCGCATGGAGATGGCAAAGGCCTTGCCGCACACTTCGCAGGCAAAGGGCCGCTCGCCTGTGTGCAGGCGCCGGTGGTCCTTCAGGTGGGTGCTCTGACGGAAGGCCTTGCCGCAGTCCGGACACGGGTACGGCCGCTCCCCCGTGTGGATGCGCCGGTGCACCTGCAGCGAGGTCTCTGTGCTGAACAGCTTCTTACACTCGCTGCACTCCAGGCCCCGGCGTCGGGCGGGGGCCGCGGGGGCCGCGGGGGCCGCGGGGGCCGCGCCCCCCAGGGTGGTGGGGGAGGCAACCGGCCCGCGAGTGGCCCGGGGGGCCCGGGGGGCCGGGGGCTCCTTAGCCAGGACCTCGCCCGGCCCAGCAGCCGCATGGGCCGCCTCGTGCGCCTGCAACCGGGCCGCCGAGCCCACTTTCTTGCCGCAGGTGCCGCACTCGAAGCGCCGGGGGGCCTGGGCCGCAGCAGCGGCGCAGCGGTGCTCACGCAGCCGCAGCGAGGAGGGGAAGGCGGCCCCGCAGGACGGGCAGCGGTGCGGCTGGCGGCCGGCATGGGCCACGAGCTGGTGCACCTCCAGCAACCGGCGCAGCAGGAAGGAGCGGGGGCACTCGCGACACTTGTAGGGGTACTCGCCCGTGTGGTGGTAGCGGTGCATGAGCAGGCGGTAGGGGCGGTGAAAACGCACGCCGCACTCCTGGCAGCGGTAGGGGAAGTGCTGCGCGTGCACCAGGCGGTGCTGCCGCAGCGTGGAGCTCTGCGTGAAAGCCTTGCCGCAGTCCCCGCAGCGGTAGGGCCGCTCCCCCGTGTGCGTGAGCCGGTGGCGGGCCAGGTTGGCGGGCGAGTTGAAGGGCTTGGAGCAGTCCGGGCAGGGGAAAGGCCGTTCGCCTGTGTGCGTGCGCAGGTGGTTACGCACGTGGGACTTCTTCTTGAACATCTTGCCGCAGATGCCACACTTATGGCGCCGCTCCAGCCGATGCACAAAACGCTGGTGCCGCGTCAGCTGCAAGGCCTTGCCGAACTCGCGGCTGCACAGCAGGCAGCGGTAGGTGCCCGGGGCAGCCGGCCCTGCTGAGCTCTCTTCGGCCACAGGAGGCTCCGGCGCCTCAGACTCTCCAGTCTCTGCCGGGGCCGGCTCGGGGAGCCCAATGACCGGCTCCTCGGGGGGGACCGGTGTGGTGGGCAGAGGGACGCCCCCCGCCCCGTGGGTACGCCGATGATACAGGAACTTGGTGAGGTTGACAAAGGTCTTCCCGCACGGACACGAGTGCAGAGGATTCGGGGTGTGGGCTCGCCGGTGGGCCAGGAGCAGGGCCTCTGTGCCAAAGGCCAGGCCGCAGTCCACGCACAGGAAGTGAGACTCGCTGCTGTGGTCTCCGAGGTGCTGGTCTAGACTGGAAGGGCTGGGGAAGACGCGACTGCACAGAGGGCACTTAAAGACGCCCTCCCGGTGACTGCGCAGATGCTGCTGTAGCTGGTGAGGTGACAGAAAGAGCTGGTCGCACGCGGAGCAAAAGAGCTCCTGGGTGGCCGTCCCGCCCAGCTCTCCGCCGTTGTTCCTCCGGGCCTTGCGCCCCCGGCGATCACGCCCAATGGCTTCACCGTTGCGCAACTCGTAACTGTGGTCAGAGGACGGCAGGGGATCGGGCTGGGACACAGGCACCTCCGCAGGTGACGGAGTCAGGGTCTCCTGCTGCAAGGCAGGTTCCTCCGACTCGGGGACCGGGGCAGGGAAGTGGGTGGCCTGGTGCTCCAGGAAGTCGGCTGGAAGCTGAAAGAGCTGGGAGCACTCAGAGCACTTGTACAGGAGCAGCTCCACCTCAGTGACCACCTCAGTGGTGGCGGCGGCGGCGGCAGAAGGGACAGCTGCTCCTTCCCCACCCTCCTCTGCCTTGCGGTAGGAGTGCTCCACAGCCACACGGGCCTGGCCCACAGGGGTCCCCAGGACCACCGGGGACCCCAGGACCACGGGGGCCGCAGGCTTGGCGGGAGTGCCCCGGAGGTGCGTCTGCCGGTGGCTCAGCCAGAGCTCCTGGCTGGCGAAGAGAGCCTTGCAGTCCACACACTCGTAGTGGATGGTACTGGAGCTGAGTGCGGGCGCCTTGGCTGGCGGCTCAGCCGCCACCGCCTCCTGGGGAGCCATCATCTTCAGGTGCAGCTCCTGATGCTCCAGGAGCTGGCTGGGGGACAGGAGCAGCTGCCCGCACTCCAGGCACTGGTACTGGCTCTCCTGCACCAGCGTTTGATAGAGGCCCGTGCCAGAAGCTGCCTCCGTGGCCACCGCGACTCCAGGCTCAGCCACGCCCACCAGCTCGAAGTGCTGCTGGGGCACATGGGAGTTCTGGTGCACGAGCACTTCCTCCAGGGACCCGTACAGCTGGTTGCACTCGGAGCAGACATAGCGGTGCTCGATGTACAGGACCGTCTCCTCGGATTCCTCGGTCATGGCGGCAGCGAGGCCCTGGGCTGTGAAAGGAAAGAGGTGGGGACAGATCCCAGTAAACTGCTGTCTCCTCCATCCTTCTGAGGGACAGTTCTTTCCCTTTAGCACTCCCGGCCAAGACCCTGTATGTATTTTACCCTCTAACTTCTTGCTTCCATTTCCCACTCCCACCCCTCACCCCCAGCAATCCTTCTGCTCCTGAACACACGAGACTACCAAGCACAGAACCTTCCCAGCAGTCCCTTCCCAGAATCTTATCCAAGGCTCACCTCTGAATCAACGCGCATCAAACCCCACCCACCAGATCCTCGTAACCTGTCCAACCCTCACCTCCCATGCCTCTCAGCTGGCCCACAGCCACGCGCATCACACAGGAACCTGTGTCCTCTCCATTCGAGCCTCCTTCCCAACTCACTACCCCATTCCTGCTCCCCGGTGCCTCAGGGAGCCCTCACAGGCCCTAACGGCCACCACTTCTCCCAGCCTCCCTCCTCCTCTGTTCCCTCCCCCAGGTTCCTGACATCTTTCTACACCAGAAGACTCAAACTGCCCCAAGCCCCCGCCACTTTCTGCATCCTCACATGGTACAACCCCTCTCCTTTACATACGCCCGTTAGACACTGTCTCTCCCTCTGGTGCCCAGATCCCTCACATCAAACTTGCCCTTCCTTCAACCAACTTGTCTCATGCTGGCGTAACCCATCACTACACCTACACTTTCCCCTCCTAGACCACTTCTCCATGATACCCAGATCCCCCTTTTCAAAGTGCTTATCTCTACAAATCAAAGCCCTCTCCCACAGCCCTAACCCCCTATCCAGAATACCCAGACCCACTTCACAAAAGCCTAACCTCTTCATACCTATATTCTACCCGTCACCCCAACTCGTGTCTCACTCTTCACAGAAATTACTTGTTCTTTACACTGAGACCTCACCTACAATTCTAATCCCCCCTGGGGTACCCAGATCCCCTCTTCTACCCCAACCACTATAGGGATGCCCTAGGTGCCTCTTCGTATCAACCTCAGCCCCTCTTCTTTACAAAATGACCCAGCCTAACCCATTTTAGGGATGCCCAGATACGGTCTTCACATCACCTTAAACCCTTCCTTACAAACCTCTGTGCCTAACCCATGCAGGGACGCCCAGACCCCCTTTCACATTATTAAAATACCTAAGCTGAATTTCTTCTTTGCGAAATGACCCGTTCCCACCCTAGCCCATTCTAGGGATCCCCAGATCCCCTCTTCGTATCGGCATAAACTCCTCTTCCTTGCAAAAAGACCCAACCCCACTCTAACTCATTCCAGGGATGCTCAGACGCCCTCTTCATAACAACTTAGTTTCTCTCCTTTGCAAAAAGATCCCGGCACATGCTCTAACCCAATCCAGGGAGATCCAGACTACCCTTCACAAAGGCTTAAACTTTCACACATATGCCACCACCACCCCCGCCGGCCCAAATCCCCTTTAGGAATACCCAGACCCTACCTTCTTATGCTGAACCCCCCCGCCCCCCCCAAGCTAGACAGAGGATAGCCAGACCCCTCTTCCTCACACCCAGACCCCTCTCACCAGCTTATTACCCTGGGGATACCTAGACCCCCAACTTCTTGTCAACCTAACAGCTCATTCTCATTCCAGCGATACCAAGACCTTCCCCCACTGAGTACACGGACCTCTCCAACCCCCTAACCTTCTCCAGGGATACCCAATTACCACTCTTCACCTTGACCTAATTCCCTCTACTTTCCAAAAACATTACCTCTACCCAACCTGTCCTAGGGACACCCAGACGCCCTTTTCACACAACATAACCCTTTGCACAGACACTCCTCTCAACCCATTCCAACGGTGGCGCCCCCCCCAACTCCCTTCACATTAATGTAACCCCGTTCTCAATACCCGGACCTCTGCCTCAGCTCCAAATCCTCCCTCCAGGGATATTCGTTTGCTGATACCTTTCCACACCAAGCCCCTCTCACTGGTCTAATGCCTTCCAGGCTTACCTACGTTTATCTCTTTATGTTAACTTAATTACCTCTTTTCTCACGCCCTAACCGCCCCCCCGACACGCAAGCCCCCTCTAACCGTCCACCCCGCTTCGGTCCCGGGCGGCCCCACCACCAGGCCCGGCCCCGATACCCCCTGGAGCCTTGGACACTCTCCCGGGGGGGCAGCTCTAACGCCTCCCTTCCCACCCAGGGCCCTCCCAGCCCCCGGCCCGTGCCCCGCCCCTCCTCACTCAGCCCAGCACGACTCTAACCCCCTTCCCCGCCCGCCCTCCCGGCCCGGCCCCCGCCCGGCCGCCCGCGCGCCCCGCCGGCCGTTGGTGCCGCTCCGCCCTCCCCGCCCGGCGCGCGCCCCCTCCGGCCGTCAGTGCGCAGGCGGGGCGGCGTGGGGCGGCCGGGAGCGGGGGAGGGGGGGAGCCGGGCCGGCCTGCCGCCCGCCCGCCCGCACTCACCCGCCTCCGCCGTCTCGCACGCCCCGGGCCCAGGCCCGGGCCGCCGCTCGCCTCGCGCGGCCACCCTACCGCTGCGCCCTCTCTAGCTCCCGCCGTCGCCTCTCGTCTGCTCCGCAGCCTCGCTCTCGCCCCCAGTCGCCCTCAGCAACGCCCCGCCCACCTTCCTCCTCGGCCGCTCCGCGAACGGCCGAACGCGCCCAATCAGCGTCCGTCTGGCTCCCGCCTTTCGACCAATCGAGGCTCACGTCTCTGAGCCTTGGGCCAATAGTATGGAGCGTCGGGATCCGCCGCAGTGCCCAACCAATCCTCCAGCGATGTCCCCTCACCGGCCGGCCCCCGGGTTGATAGTGTCCGCCTCCTTAAGCCCCTTGGAGGATGCTCCTCCTCCAGCTGCTCGTCGACTCCGCCTGACGCCTGAAGAAGGGAGGGCAGCGCGGTGACGTCAGGCGGCGGAGCGAGGCTGCGGGCGCCATCTTGGGGGCGCCGAGCGGGAGTCGCGTCGGGTTCGAGGGGAAGTCGGAGAAATTGAGGCACACGAGACCCAGAGGGTGGGGGCGGGGGAACGGTGGCGCAGGAAGCCCCGAGGAGTGAAGGGAGAACGTGAAGCACCTGTCAGCGCGAAGCGGGGAGGGGAAACTGCAGCACGAAGCACATGGAGGGGGTGAAAAGGGAAACTGAGGCTCCAGACTCCTTTTATTAGAAAGAAGAACGGAGGCAGCAAGAAGGAAGGGGAGAAAAACCGAGGGACTCTAGGGGGAGGGGGAAGGAGAAATGTCAAAAGGGAAACAAGGAGCGCGGGGATCTGAGGGAACGAGGAAAACCTGAAGAAGGGAGGAAATGGGGAAATGGAGGGGATAAAGAAAAAGCAAGGACAGCTTCACTGGAAGAAACGGAGTGTGTGTGTGTGTGGACGACCTGAAGGACAACTAGGGTGAAAACCTGCAGAAAGTGACCCTGTAGCAGATGGACTCTGCTCTGATACCTTCCAAGGTGCCTTCTTTCTAGGCTGACCCAGGGCCACTTGGACCGTGGAGTCTCCATGTGTCCAAGGGCTCCTGTGCATCCCTACTCATCTCCCCTTCTGGCCCTCAGGGCGTTGTCAGCGCACTGTTATGTTTCCAGAGCTACTCTCTGAACTCAAGGACTGAGGGGCTGCAAGAGATTCATTTGTTCTCTCTAGCCGCCCCCCGCCCCACCGTTTCTCAAATGAGTAAACTGAGTCTCAGCCTTCCTGAGGCTAAAATCTACTGAGGCAACCCTAGGTCTGACTCTTCGGTCATCACCTTTGCTGTGTCCTTCAATTGGTTTCTAATTGGGTGTCCTAACTTTCCACTAAATTAAAATCCCTAACACCAAGCCAGTGTAATTAAACCAGGCTGTCTGGATTGAAATCCTGACCCGGCCACTTCCTAGCTAATGTCTTGGACAAGTTAACTCCCCTGTGCCTCAGTTTCCTCATCTGTGAAATGAGGATAATAGCCCCTATGTCACGGTTGTGAGGCACAGCGTAAACACTATGTAAGAATTAACTTTTATTAGGACCTCAAGGAGCTCATTAATAATAGCTGATGTGTCCTGAGTGTGTTATGATGTGCCAACTATTGTGCTTAGTGCTTTGTACGCTTTATCAGTTTAATCATCTCAATCCCAGGAGGGAGGAGTTACTGTTCTCACGTTACAAAGACACTGGGGCCCAGAGAAGTTAAGTAGCTTGCCTATCTTTAGGAGGAGACAGAGCCAGGGTTCCAACCCAGGAGTCAACTCCAGGGTCTATGCTCTTGGCCCCCAGTCTCTACTACTGCCTGGCAGGTGAATGTCCTATCCCTCCTGGCATGTCGAATGGATGAATGCAAGAAGTAGAGAAAAGAACTTGGTGGGAATGTGTGAGCTCTAAAGCTGGTCATCGGGGTTTGCCATCAGAGTGAAATCAACTGGGGAGGGAGCCAGAGAACCTGGAAGCTAGACTCAGCCTTTGATAGCCTCCATGCAGTTGGGCAGGTTCTCACACCTGCTGAAGCCCCCTTTTTCACCTGAAAACGCAAGGGTCCAGCTTGGCATGTCAGGCCCCTTTCCGCTCAGACTTTTTGCTTGGACTTCCCAGTTTATCTGGGTTGACTAGCTTGGTTCCTTCTCTTCTGATGATACAGGAGTAAGCTGAGGCCTGGATCAGTCTTTGTGAAGGTGGTGGCATGAGACTAGATTTCTGGCGTAGGTTTATTTTAGAGAGGATAGGCATTCTTTGCTGGGGTCCCTGCATAAGCAAAGGCCTAGAGCCTGGCGAGAGTCTAGGCTTTCAGCCTTTGCGGGAGCTGAGGGTAGGTGTTGGGGGACCATAGGTGTTGCCCACGTAGGGTGAGGAGGTGTGTGCAAAGTTGATGGTCCTTCAGGGTCCATTGTATGTGTGAGGCATATGTCAGGGATGCTCCATATGGGACGAGGGCTTTCTATGCCAGGCTGGTGTAAGGGTTGCCATGTGCTGTGTGTGTGTGTGTGTGTGTGTGTGAAGGCATATGGTCACGTGTGCTGGGGGGCTGCACGTGAGTGTGTCAGTGTCTCCTCCCCATCACGAGCATTGGGGGTGGTGGTGAGTCACGGGCTCAGCCTTCGGCGCCAACTGTCATGTTCCTTCCCCCCAAATTTCATCCCCCACCCAGCCGTGCATCACCCACCCCCACTCTAAGATCTGTGTCACTGCTTCTGTCTTCCATCCCCCTGTCCTGCTCAGTTTCCTCTGAGAAGCTGCCATGGGCTCCCTGAGAGGGAGCCTCCCACTTCTGCTGGCTCTGCCCTCCAGCATCCTGCCCTTTCTCACTGCCTCTCTGCTCAGGTGGTGGCTTGAGAAGGAGAGCCTCTTCACGCCACCTGCTCATGTCTGTGGGGCCCAAGGATTTCTCTATGCATTATAGACAATTCCCATTCCCCCCACCCATCCCTTCCCCTCCATGGGGGCTATTTCTACTTCTGGGAGCTTCTTCCTTATCTCCAGGGGCTGGCTCCTCCTGCCTTAGGGGGCCTCTTGTGTCCACACATCCTTGTTTTCATGGGTTCCTGGTAGCTGTTTCCCTCCATCCCCATTTCTCTGACCTCCTCCTACTTTGCTTGGCCCACCTCCCTGTCTCTGTGATATGCGTCCGTCCTTGTTCCCATTTCTGTGGCCTTCTCCCATCCCCATGGACCACTCCCCATGTCCGAGGAGTGCTTTCTGTTCCCATGGGCCTCTCTCCATCTTCCTGGGGGGCTCTCTGTGTCCACCAGCTGCCCTCGTCGGTCTCTGAGGTCCTTAGCTGTCTCTGGTCTGCTCCCATGTTTCCATAGGCTTTTCTCTCTTTTCTCTGGGCTTTTCCCTGTCCTTGTCCTTGTGGGGTTTGTGGACCTTGGCCCACCTCTGTGAGTTTTGCTGGTCGTCTTGCTATTCCTCTGCATTTTTCTTCATCTCTGTAGCCCTCTCCCCACCAGCTCCATGGCCTTCTCCTCAGCTCTCCCTGTCTCTCATCTCCATGGGCTCCTGGGCAGGGCGGTGGCATGGTGGTGGAGGGGGTGGCCCGGGGGTGGGCCCTCCGTCCAATGCAGCGCCTTCCCCTCATCAGCATTCTCCTCGCGGGCCCCCCAGCCCCGACCAATACGAGCTCCCCCTCCCCCCCCCCCCCGACTCCCCTCCCTCCTCTTTCTCCGCCTGCTGCCCTCCCTTCCTCCTGCCCGCCCTCCTCCCTGCCTCCCTCCCTCCCTCCTCTCTCTCCCCCCTGCCCCCCGCGCTCCAGGACCCAGCGCAGGCGGCGGGTGGCGGGCAGCGGGCGGGCGGGCAGGCAGGCGGCGGCCTCGGAGGGGAGAAGGAGAGGTGGCGGCGGCGGCGGAGGTGGTGGTGGTGGTGGTGGTGTTGGCGGCGGTGGCGGTGGTGGCGGTGGCCAGCAGCAGGGAGGCAGGCCCAGCTGGGGACCCAGAGCCGGCGGCTGCACCTCACAGGGGACCAGGAGTCCGTGGCCAGGCCCTCCCACCGAGGCCCTGCA